CTGCAACCTCCACCCTCCCAGGCTCAAGTGATTCTCCTACCTCAGCCTCCGGAGTAGCTGGGTGCCATCATGCCTAGGTAATTTTTTATTTTTGTAGAGATGGGATTTTGCCATGTTGGCCAGGCTGGTCTTGAACTCCTGACCTCAGGTGATCCACCCACCTAGACCTTCCAAAGTGCTGGGATTATAGGCATGAGCCACCAATAGCTTACATGTTGACAGTGCTGCTGAATCATTGAATTCTTTGGCCATGAAAATACCAGGTTTTCCTTTGTGAAGGAGGCATAGTGAGTTAAATCAGTTTGGATCACGCAGGTTATCAACTAACAGATGGAAAGACCATAGAGAACGTGTCACCTGTTGTTTTTGTTTTTTTGTGGGTTTTTGGAGACAGGGTCTCCTGCTGTTGCCCAGGCTGGAGTGCAGTGGCGCAATCATGGCTCACTGCAGCCTTGACCTCCCACGCTCTAAGTGATCCTCCCATCTCAGCCTCCCGGCTGTAGAGCTAGGACTAGAGGTGTGGGCCACCACGCCTGGCTAATTTTTATATTTTTTGGTAGAGACGGGGTTTCACCATGTTGCCCAGGCTGGTCTTGAACTACTGGGCTCAGGCAATCCTCCCTCCTTGGCCTCCCAAAGTGCTGGGATTACGGGCGTGAGCCACCGCTCCTGGCCCCACAGAGTGTTTTGAGGATAGAAGCTTACACCCGATTTAAGTTCCTTGTCTATGCAGACGACTAAATTTGCAACTCTTTCCAGTTTTTCTTGTCATTATACTTTCCTTAGCCTTAGGGAGCTACTGAAAACAAAATCTGGTTTTATAAGAAGTTTCTTTTCATGTTCCTGGAAACTAAATCCTCCACGTTCTTTCTTTGCCTAGATGTAGAGTATTTCAGTAGTACCCCACTTGTCCGGAGGTCGGATTTCCGGCACCCCCAGCCCTCCAGAACATGGCTGCGAACCCCGAAGCAAGCAGAGGAGGCTTCTGAGCCCGGGGCGGGGCTGTGCTCAGGCTCCATCCCAAGCCCAGGGTGCGCATTGAGGGTGCAGTGAGGGGAGGGGAGGGGCCCTGGGAGGGGCGAGGCTCAGCTTTTCCCACTAGGTCCCCAAGGAGGTCACAGACGCTGACCTGGGAGGCAGTGTCACAGTATTGCCTAGTCAGTTTAGGAAATAAAAAGGTATATCCCATTTAAAATGTTCATTAGACTGCACTGGAAAAGGCGACTGTGTTTTACGATGATTTCCACTGGGGATGATAGGAGGAAAAGCTTTGTTACATACATATTGTCGTAGGCTTCGGTCACGAGGCAGGTTCATTTCCATGGGACGCTCCTTCCCCGCACTGGGGGAGGAATGAGATGTTACTCTCCTAATGCAGGGTCGGCAGCCTTTTTCGGTAAAGGACCAAATAAGAAGCATTTCAGACGGGCTGTATGTAGATGTATGTGTTACAACTACTGAAGTGTCATTTTGGTGGGAAAGCAGACAACACATGAACGTGTGGCGATGGCGATGCTCCCGTGAAACTTTGTTTAGAAAAAGAGGGCTGGGCCGGGCGTGGGCACTTAAGCCTGTAATCCCTGCACTTTGGGAGGCCGGGGTGGGTGGATCACAAGGTCAGGAGATCAAGACCATCCTGGCCAACATGGTGAAACCCTGTCTCTACTAAAAATACAAAACTTACCCGGGCATGGTGGGAGGCACCTGTAATCCCAGCTACTCAGGAGGCTGAGGCAGGAGAATCGCTTGAACCCAGGAGGTAGAGATTGCAGTGAGCCGAGACTGCGTCACTGCACTCTAGCCTGGGTGACAGTGAGACTCCATCTCAAAAAAATTTTAAAAAAGAATCTAGTTGTATTGTTTGGCTATATCCATCCAGGGTATTACCATCTTTGTGACATGTTTGTACAGGTCTGAGAAAGAACCCCAGTTTAACCGTCTTTGTGACATGTTTGTACAGGTCTGAGAAAGAACCCCAGTTTAAGTTTATTTACTTCAACCACATGAATCTGGCCGAGAAGAGCACAGTTCACTGAGAAACGCCCAGTGTGCACTCACTTCCGGGCAACCCGGAATTTAATGAAGATCTCGTGACATCAACAGTGACTTCACAGTGTTCCACCACTTCTCGCTCCAACAAGGTGTCCCCTTTCAAGAAACAAAGGACACGAAAGTCCTTCAAAGCCAAATGAACCGCAGAGCCCTTTTCATGGGGCTCAAGCTGAACCACCTTCATGCGCCGCATACTTCACAACCACACGCACTTGGGAGCCCCTAAGCCCGGATTCCCTCGCCCAGGACTCCCGACCTTTTAAATGCCACGTGCGCCCGTTCCATTTCTTGTTCTGCGTTTGAATGTTGCTTTCCCCCGCGTCTAGCCCCATTGTGAAAACCAACGCACGGCGCGTTCGTGAACCGCATCTTGCACAAAGTGGCATGAGATGAGGAGATCATCGCTGAAGAGCCATAGAATGATACTGGTGTTTTGGAAGAAGTCTGATCGGCCGGCGAGCTCTATGCTATTTTGAATCAAAAAATGCAAACCTGATTGAAGTAAAACGGTAAATAGATTGTATTTCCAGGAGAAATTTTAATGCTGCTGAACGGAAAGGTTTTTCACTGCCGTATAAACGTCAAAAATAGAAACGAGAAATAGACAAATGGTCTGCCTGAGATTGAACAGGCCTCTCAACATTTCAACATTGTCCTTTTCCTCTTTCTTGAGAAACACTGCGGACTTCCTGTAGCACAGAAACTGACCAATGGCCCAAAGAAAAATGTATTTTCTACAATGCTAAAAATAAATAATAATATAACACTTACGTGTATGTAAGAATGTCCCCTTCTTTTGGAGGACAGGTCTCACTTTATTCACACCGGCTAGAGTGCAGTGGTGCAACATAGCTCACCACGCCTCCAACTCCTAGGCTCAAAGCAGTCCTCCCACCTCAGCTCTCCGAGTAGCGAGCCCACAGGCAATGTGTCACCGGCATGTGTCACCATACCCGCTACCAATTTTTTTTTTTTTTTGAGACGGAGTCTGGCTCTGTTGCCCAGGCTGGCTCACAACTCCAAGCCCAAGCGATCCTCCGGCCTCCCAAAGAGCTGGGATTACAGGCGGGAGCCACCTTGCCCAGCCCCAAATGTCCTTTTTTAATATCCTGTGATATAAACGTATCTTTTTTAGGGAGAAGCTGCCAGGTTCATGTGGCCGTTTACAACGATCCCTCTGAACACCGGCAGCATGATAAGGCATTTTCTTCTGCCCTCCCGCCAAAGCGGCCAGCCGTGCCCACCACACGGGGTGACCCGGCAGCTGCTCTGCTGACAGCTCGGCTGCCCTGGAGAGAGGGGACCTCGCCTCGGCAGAGCTGCCCCCTTGGGCGATGCCCCGGAGGACCACTGTATGAAATTCGAGTGTAAGCGTCTTTTTTTTCCCCTTGTATCTTCTTGGGCATACACATTTTTCTATTATTAACACTTGCATTAGTAATTGTGTGCATTAGAAACATCAGTTAATACAAGCCTGATCCAAACTGAATTCAGTAAGATCAAAATCCCGACACGTCTGCGGGGCGCTGTGTCTGCAGCCAGGGGCGCTGTCAGTTTCTCTGTTGTTCCATCAGTTCTCCCAGGATGACGACAGCGCCAGCCTCGGTGCTTCTGACCCCCTCCCCGGGTGTCCTGGGCACTTTGCTTGCAG